AGTTATTGAGTGTTTCCACTTATCGTGATCACACTGTATAAAAAAAATATATTCTAATTAATAATTAGCTCTCGACGATTTTAACGAGAAATAATATTACACAGAATCGACAATAAAATTGTTTATGGGTATAACAAACATTATCGATGGGCGACTTATTACGTAAAATTAACTATTACTTGCTATTATATAAAAATAACCATCAAATGTCTACATTAAACAATAACTGATACAATCGATTATTTGAGTACATAGAATAATACTACATGACTCCATATTTCCATAATCAATGTTAATAAATAAATTTTATTATTATGTTCATTGCGTAGTGTGTACAATTTAATTTAAGATATATCATATCAAGACATCAGGTCCACATATTCATATACTTATAAATTATAATAATAGGTACGACTGGTATAATAATCGTGCAGTATTAGGTACGTAACATTTAAACGGTTTTAAATAAATATATTATTAGGCATTCTAAGAAAATCACTTTATTATGTTTTACTATAATCCTCATTTGTACCAATTTTACCTATATACTATATTGCTTATATTATAGTATTAYATAAAAATAAAATATACTAATYGCCTCACTCACTCCTATTTAATGAAGAAAGAAGTCCACCTATCTGTACTTGTTGTGGGGTTCCTGTCTCGGTTAAACATATTTTAACCGAATGTAGAACTTACGACAAGGAAAGAAGACAACTCCAAATCTCCGACTACCTCGCCGAAGCACACAACCCCGAACCAGCCAAGGTCTTAAGAACGATACAATTTTTAATAGAAACACAACTTATTAACAAATTGTAATTGTATATAATATACGTCCTGTTTTACCAATAATACTATTATATGTTTCTTTTATTTCTTTTTCTCACTATTTAATATCATGTAAATAATTTTGAATATTGCTAAATTGTACCTATTGTTACGTCCAATGGCCATAGATGCCGCGGATAGTTTGTTTAATAATAATTTAAAAAAAACATACCAATGTAGATATACATGGTATAAATATATTAATTATAATGTCTAAATAATTAATAAAAATATAATATACCTATAAAAATGTTTAGTCAGTATTAGGTCACGCCATGGCCTGACTCGTAGTTTCGCCTATAATCATAGATAATTTACGTACTTATACAAATTAAGAAATATTCACTTTTCCCGCAAAATTGACGAAATAWRCTGGATATGCATTTTAAATTTTCGATTTTTAAACTCACATTATCGTTTAACAAGGTCATATGATGTTATAAACCGAGAGTATAAAGTAGTGATCTCAAACTGAAATTATTATCAGCGGGCCATTTAGGTATTTATACACAAATGCACTAATRCACATCAAAGTTTCGCGAGAAAAACATTTTCAAAGATCTAATGCTATCATTTTTTGCACGTAGCGATTAGCTACTACGAACGATAAAAATTATCCTATCGATATGAGGGTCATGAGGGAAGTAATAAGAATTTAACATTAGGATCATGTCAAATTATATGTTATCGTTGTCTGACTAGAAACTAATATTTCAAATGAAAAAAAAAATTATCRCTGAATAATAATAATTGTTGGACTATTGCGGGCCAGTGGGCCACGTGAAAATGGTTCGTGGGCCGAGCTTGTTTGAGACCACTGGTATACAGAATAATATGCAACTCCTACAACTTTTGAGCGACTGGTCATAATAATTAAAGAACGGATTTTTAGGTTTTTAAATGTTTAAAATATGATGCTAAAATGTTCTAAAATATAAACCTTAAAATATTCTCTAAATATTCCTTAAACTTGTAAATATGTAGATATGATTTTTTCTCCAAAATGGTTCTTTAAAAACAATAAATAACTRTTATGCGCCATTCCTTTGCCGTTTGGTAACAGGTGAATTATTTAAACATAAAAAATGTAAATAATTGAATGATTTTTAATTTTTATCATTCTTAGATTATTTGTWTRGTMTAGGAAAAATTGTTGCTAGAAAAAATCATAACTCAGCAAATTAACAGAATACATGATTTTTTATGAACAATAATTTAGGTAGGTAATAGATTCTAAAATGTAAAAAATAGGCTAAATATTCTCTAATGTCCAAAATCTGCTATAATATGGATAATAATTGTTTTGCTAAGAGCTCTGATGGATAATTCGTCCACATATTTTTTCAATCTCGTAAATTTGTACAAAATCAATAAAAATTATTTAAAATATGTAAAAACCTAATGATCTGCAGGATCTGCTCACTAATAATATAACACATTCATGTAACACGGAATATTAATGACAAACATATAAAAATAATAAATGAAACTATGAAACACAGAAATAGGTATAATTTTTTGTCGAAATAGTAGGTAACGATTTTATAATTTTCGGCTCTGTGGTATCAAATACTATGGTATTTGGTGGTATCAGGAAACACTCGACGCGACGACGCCGTTCTCACCCATTTAGTACACACAAGCACAACCCGTCGACCGGAGTCGAACGCGATAGAATATTATTAGCAAATTCGCTCGGATCTGAAATTTTACATTTTACATTTTTTGTAGCAGTCGTCGTTGCCGCAGCGGTWGTAAATAGTAGAAATAGTAGTAGTAGTTGAAGTTGGAAGTAGTAGTAGTAGTAGTAGTAGTTGTTGTCGTTGTCGCCACATGACGTCACCGTCGCGWTTCGTCTACAAGTTCCGTCGAGCCACTGTTCTATCATGGTCGAGCGGTCGAGCAGTCCCGTACACCCGTGGGCCGTGAACCGAGCGGTATCTATATGAATAAAACAACGATAGATACGACAACCACAACATTACAACAATCACTCTATTATACCACATGAATTAATTAAATGACATTGCAATATAMTATTATAACATTATTGATCATAATGTCACGTTGATTACCGCCGTCGAACCATCGGAACAGACGCGTCGACAACACCAGCACCGTGTACGGGGACGGAATCCTGTTCTAGTGGCGACGTCTGTCGTCTGTCTGTACGGCGTGTTAAACAAACGATATAAGCGTACCGCGGAAAAAGGTGTCGCCTGGCCCGTATGGTTATTGATTTGGTCCGAACGTTTGTTCGCGTTACCGAACAGTAATTAGTAGGTACCCATACACAGACCAAAACCGTTGTCTCTAAGGTAAATTTTAAAACAAAATATAACAGCTAAATGGCAAATAGTATAACGTGTACATATATTATTACATTGTGGTGAAAAAAAAAATCTGACAGTTTTAAAGGAAAAATTCTTGTTATTAATAACATACGATTATTACAGCTAAAGCATACCTATAATTGCACTATTGTTTTGTTATTGTTTATTTCTCGATTTAATTTATTTGATCAACTTACAGGTGAGATCATAAAACAATTATTTTGGATTAAACATCATATGATATTAAGTATTTTCACAGGTAGTTTGTAAAATACAACAATATAATTTAATATAATATAATGATCGGTACAAAAAAAAAAAAAATCAAACAATCTTATGATTCTTTTCATTGTAAACTAAAAAAGTAAAAACAAAAATTGAAAACTATTCTTGATTTAATTGTAAGTAAAAAAAAATATATATATAAAAATTATTTTTGATGATACCTAACTCTAAATAATCAGGATAAACCTAATAGTTTATTTTTAATTTTTCTAATAATTTAATAAATAAATGTTTTAAATACTTTTCATATAACTAATATAAATGCTCAATTATATAAATACTCAATTTAAATGTTTACAAAACATTTAAAATGTTCTCCTCCTCATTATTATTATTGAAATTTAAGGTAACTGTTTTAGTAAAGAGCAACATTGCTTTGAACGTATGTAGTATAGATTTAGCAGCTTCTTCTGCTGCCATATCGGTAGTGGCTCCATATCCAGTCGTAACAGTGATCGGTACAGAAGTTACTTGTACTAATACAGCATATTCTTCATCTTGACTGGTATTGTTTTCAATATCTGTAAAAATGTATTTATTTATTTATTTTAACCCTGAATTCATTATACTAAAAACATACCTTTTTTTTTTTGAACTCCCAGACACACATAAATTGCTTGGAAACCTAGTTCCCTGCATAAAGTTTCTAATTTATTAACAGCGATTGTACTTGAATCATAATGCTCAATATATTGTTCCAGTTGTGTTGTAGATCGCTCTAGCTGTTGATCCATTTGCGTTGAATTATCCGCATTCTAAAAATTTTATAATTAATTATAGGTATACATTCAAATTAACTTGGATATTTTTATTATGAAGTATGTACCTCAACTAGAGAAATTGTTGTTTTATCATTCATTGCTGTTCTAGATTCAATTGCTTTTGTAAAAAATGACCGGAAACAATATGCTGAAAACCATTTATTTGACAGTTTTTGATTTTCTTCATCATGTATTGAAATGCATTTATTTTGTTCACAATCCTTAAAATTACATTCAATATTTATTTTCTTAGTTTGCAATTTAAATTAGTTATCAAATTAGTAAGAACATTTAAATTGTGTTACCTCAGTTGATAATAATGTAATTGGATATGAAGATTTKAATTCATTTAATTGTTCTGTGCCAATGTCAAAAATCTTTTCAAACATTAGACGTGCAGCCTTACGTTTAGCTCCTTTCTTAAAACTATCAGTTCCTAAAATGTAATATATTCAATAAATGCATGAACAAAAAAATAATATTTTAACTTGTATGATTATTAAGTACCCATTGTTTGTAAATGAAAAACTTCACAAGTAACTTTGTATAAAGTCATTTTACATTCACTTTGATCTTTGTTTAATATCTCAAAACTGTAGAAYGGAGGTGTCCATTTATAATTTGTGCACAGCTCTTGCAAGGCTCCAATAGGATTCATATCACAATGTGCAATTTGTACTGCTTCATATTTAAATTGTTGCCTAACAATTAATTAATAAAATGTTAAAACAATTTTAGTTTTTTGTATAGTTAATTTATCTTACGATTCTTCACTATCCATATCTATGTTAGTTTCATCTATACTTTGTAATCCTTCAGTACTACTAAAAAATGTATCATTTCCACAAACTTCAAAGTTATCAGTGGTGGTAGTAGATGTTATTGCTTTATCACTGTCATTCACCGGGTCAATTTTAAAACCAAAAAGTTTTTCACACATTTGGGCAGCAGCATTTTGTTTTGCTTCCTTTTTAGATTTCCCTTCTCCTAAAGCTTATTCAATAAAACAATAATGTATATTTATTTAAGTTAGATAAAATCTATAATATTAAAATACCTTTCATATTGTGTGTTTGACACATGTATGTAAATATTGGTTTATGTGCATGTCCAGTAATAGCCGCAAGCACATACGATACAATAAATGGTTTTTTTCCTTCACCACCACGCATGGCCCATTCATTTAGTAAAGATATAGCTGTTTTATTTTGTTGTGTTTTGAAAGTTATTGGTTCAGGCTCATGTTCACTATTATCAATGTTTGTATTTTCTAAATTGTATAATATATTATTTTTGATATGATCCTCATTTTCAGACATATCACATATTGTTGATGATTGTTCTGATGGCAAATGATTATCACAAACATTTTTTTTATTTATATGTAACTGATCATAACTGCAGTGTCTATATTTATGGCCTTTAACTGATAATGATGACTTATTTTTATGATATTGATGAGGTGCCAATTGTGTGTCATATTTAGTTACCTATAAGAAAACAAATTGATATTTAAAATAACTTACAAAACAATAATATATAATTTATTGTGCTTAGTGTTTAATTTGGCATGCTTCTAGAACCCTAAGTATTTTTAATACATTATCAAACATGAATAGAGAAAAATACATAAATACTAAATATACACAATGGTTAATATTTATTTTTCGTTATGTTTAAAACAGTTGAAACAAAATGTATRATTCTGGTGATAATATTAAAATAAATTTAATATGTCTTATATAAGGTAAATTAAATTTCAGTTCAATTATATTTTATCTATTCATTCTATATGTTATACAATATGATGATTTTTTAACATTAATATAATACCACATGTTACATATTATAATACTGAAGTAAAATATCTATGTTCATAAATATCCCATTTAATTTATTTTCTTTTTGAAACAATGGACTAGCAATTATATTAATAGGGATAAATTAATGGATTTAGTAATTTGTATGTTACAATCATGGTTCCTTGATAACTATTCGATACTTATCATAATAAACAAACTTTATTGTTTCTGTAARKTTTAGATATATTTATATTTTATTCAATAAAATAATTAACATTTTTATTTGTGTTTGTGTTAGCAAGTTTAACACTGTTTATATTTTATTATTATTTTTTTTTTTTATCGGATGATATTATATTTATAATTTATAATAACAAGATGTAATATTTTGTTTAACAATAAATAAGTTATTTTTACATTTATTAATTATCATGTTTGATATTTTGCTATTAATCAAATTGGATTTTAATAATTTATCAATGATCATATATATCTATTATCATGGTTTAAGAAATATAATGTGCTAATAGATAATATATACAGTATATATAATAATATTATTGGGTATATTATCTAAAAATGTGCTACGAATGGTGGCAATAAAGATATTTAACATTTAATTAATAATAATAGACAAATATTATCAAATAAATTGAATTTTATAATTTTATAATAAAATTAACTAGCTATATATATACATGTTTGAATTGAAAAAAAAACAGTAAAGGGATACAAATGCTCAGTTAATAATATAAATGTAAGGTAGAAAAATTAGAAGTTTGGACATTTTTTTTTCATAAAAAGAGGCACTTTGTCCCACTGTGATACCTCTACAAATGTAAACCTGGTAAATATTCTATAAAATAACTAAGATTTTTATGTTTGYCTAAATTCAATACTCTATTTAATACTTAATATACAAAATGTATAAATCATTAAAATTTAAAAATTTACTTTTGTATTCACTTCATCCATTTTTACATAATTTTGACTTTCATAGTTGCGTGTATTTGATTTTCTCCATTTATTAGTTGTTAATATTTTTCTTTTGTTATGGTCATTACGGCTTCTTTTAACAATACATTCAACATCTTCAGTGACTGGATTTATAGTATCTAGATAATTAAATAGTCATACAATTAATTGTAAAAATACATTATTGTATAATATTACTTTTCCTAACATTATTTTATTTTGTTAAATATTTGGTTTAGTAGGTATAATTTGTAATTTAAATATTATCTAAAATTATTTTCATAATATTCTGCAGTTTAAAAATAAGAATAAAAATGGAGACACATTGACAACAAATATAAATTTAGTTACCTCAATCGATGCTGATTATTTATTGTTATTAAAAAAAAAAAAAAAAACAGTTCTAGAGAATTTACGTTGCTCTGTAATTTGCAATATTATATAACAAATTTACCACAGGTATAATGATTTTAAATTTACGTTAAGTATGTGATTTCTTTTAGTATAGAATCTTTAGCTTTTAATTATATTTACTACAGTATTCTACTTTCTACAGTTGTTGAAATTCTTTAATACTTATACTTTAAAAAAAATATAACAATATAAGTAAATAATGCATGCAAAAACACGTCTTTACTCATATTTACTATACTTATAATTTATAAGCTTATTGTTTGTCGTCTATGTAGTTAAACTAAATARTATKTAGTATAATCTGTGTATCTAATAATTTTCATTAGGTACCTACCTTTATTTTCTATCATTTTGAAAATTAATTTGATACTTATTCATCAAGATCAGTCATTGTTAAACTTTTGAATGGAAATTAAATCATACAAATCGCACTATATTACCACAAACTCTTAATATTTTGATCGTGTTGACAATAAAATTATTCAGTTTTTATTTYAGTACCGTACACAATAATCCCGTATTTAATATTCGAGCGCGTGTTTCCTGTTAGTGTTATATACTACTAACACTATATAACCTATCTTATTAAATATCTAATAAAACTCAATAATTGTATACAATTTTTCAGTGGACACTAAAGATAACGGTCATACGTATTTTATATTTTATGATTATTTATAAATTACCCGAACTTTAATAAACAAAACTGATAATTGGTTGGTGAGTGAATATGTCGCGTTACATAAGTACAAACATTTATATTTTATACTAAGCAAAATTTAGGTAGGGTATCTACCACAATATTACCGACGGATTTATCTAGGTTGGTAGGTAATTAAGATTCGGTGTCTGATGATTTTCTTTAGGCCACGAGGTCTTCAAAGCTTTATCTTGATAACAATAATTTTGTGAGAGACGATAATATAGTTAACAACACAACTGTTGTGTGCTGTTTTAGTCAATAATATAAAAATGTATTTAGTGCCTACGTCTTTCTCTTTTTCAATTATGTGCAAAAGTCGTGTATTTCCTTTTTTTGATTAATTCATTAAATTTCTACGAACGGCAAACCAGTTAAGTGAATACTGAATGACACCTTGCCCTAGTGTCCTACATTTTATTTTATAGCCATATTGTGATCGAAAGACTACTAAGATTATAGCTGCTCAAACTCAATCGAAATAGAGATAGATTTTATTATAAATTTTTAGTTATAAATAACAATAATTATTCGATACATCAGATTTTTATCATAAAAAATTATATTTTCAGTTGACGAATGTACGCGAGGGTAAAAATCCGGATGACAATCACAAGTGCACGATATAATAGATTTCGGATTGTAAAGATGTAAGATGATCTAGAGATCAAATTTCGGTATTTATAAGAATTTTACGTTACCTAAGTGTACATGTTTGGTATGTAGATTATGAAAGAAGAAAACGGCAAATATACCTATTGAGTGTTATAGATAAAACAAAAAATATTCCATTACATTTCTCAGCTATATTATAAAACAGTTAAGATCTAGTTATTCATAAGAATTCATTAAATTAAATTAATGATTTTTATCTGTTGACTAGTGCTAGTTAAACATTAGTGACTTAAAATTAAAACAACATTAGATACCTACCTACTTACATATTATTATTATAAATTATTGCTTTACAAGTTTCAAATAACGACAATAATTCTTCACAGGAAAATACAACTACCTTATGTCTTTATTTTATGTATATATAAAAAAAAATTACGCATTACAAATTATACTTATAATTATATGGTATTATGTTGGTAATTATTCATTTATCCGTTATCATAATACGCAATATTATCTATTTTAAACATTGAACTCGAATTTAAAAATCGTTTAGATGTTTTTGCTCAGCCACTATTTKAACAAAACAAATAATCACGCATTCACGCGTTTCATTTTCATTAAGTGTAATAAGTTTATTAATTATTTTACATTGTATTATTTTATTAAACTTCCATAACATTTTTGTATGTAAGTATATACAATATACATATATATTATATATGCATAATATAATATAGTATACGTTGGTAGGTATATAATACCATTCAAATATTTTACGGGTTTCCAATTATTTCCATAGTTCATCTATCTATTTGTATATTTGTTTATTATTATTATATATGCTATTCATTTTTTTACTGTTCAAAAAGTATTGAAATAATTCTATTCATTTTTTTACTGTTCAAAAAGTATTGAAATAATTCAATTCAATTTCGTTATTTTGTAAAATAGTAATAGGTATATGTATTGTAGTTAATTTAATAATCTAATTATTGTGTAAAATAACGTATATTTGCTWGCAAACCGTCTACCTAATAAGTTTTTTTTAAAGTTATATTACTAATTTGACATGTATATTATAATATGCCGTTTTATTATTTTTCAATAGATAGGTATTTATTTAGTTTTCACTATTAGTTACTTATTTGTGATACGATAAACTTTATGTTAAAAGTTATAAATCGTATTCGTATTATTGTATTAACAAATCAGCGACACCATAGTAAGTACTTACTAAATAATAAATTATAATTTACATTTTGGATTAAAATAGTGATCAGATTTGTTTGTCTAATCTAATTTTAACTGCACCTACTTTATTATGTATTTTTTGTATTTATTTAAAATTTAAAAATGTGTATACTTAAATCTTGAAATGATGATTGCTGAGTACTAACATGATATTGTAATATGTATAAATGATACCGCGTATTACATCTTTTATAATATATGTATATTTGACTTTCAAGACAAATTTTGTTAATGTTGTGATTTTGGCTTAAGCTAAATATGACTACATATCCCTACCCGAATAAAGTATTATTTTAATTCTGAAAATATGCAATAAGCAACTGAACCAAATTTAAAATAAGAGCTGCACAATTAAAGAMTAAATCATAAAATTTGTAAAAAATACAATCTAGTAAATCTAACAAGACATTACACAACTTTTCAATTTTATTTATTTATTTATTTTATTTATTTTTTTTTTTATCGATGTTGATTTAGCTATTATTTCAATTCTTTGTGACGATTATCCACCACTTAACTTCATGTGACAGTAGCATGATGTATTAGTATTAAATAGCGATCTATTGTTAGTGTAGGGTTGCATAATAATTGTGGCATATGTTTTTAGAGTTCAGGGTTACGTCTTACGTGTGCACGTCATATATTAATGTACCTCCATAATCTCATGTTAATATAAGTTTAATTTATTTTCAATTATTAGTGTTAGTGTACATATTATTATTCAATTAATAATATTTTGAATTTCTTGAATACATTTTATTTATACATTAATCATTTTTATTGTGGCCACTAATACGATATAATTTTTTAACTTTTGAGACACTAGGTATAATCCATATATTTTCTCAATTTAAGTATAATTTTCCTAAGAGAAAAACAAAATTAAATTGTATAAACACCTGATTTGCGATGATAAAAAAACCGCTGGAGTATTAATTATTATTAGGTATTGGTTAATTTAAAAATATTAACTTTTACTTTATACTAATACCTAGTATGTTTTAAATAATTAATACTATTTCAATAATATATTATATTAATTTTAATGCGTGCCATTTGTGTCAAACATTCATACTACGGCCCAATTAAGGTGTCATCTCCACACATAATTTAAAATTGTTATCGTTATTTACAATTATTAATATCTTAGTTGATAAACGCATATAATGTATGTGACATAGTGTTAACTGTTCAGCATAAAGTGTAGATTAGTTTAAGTTGTATGGGTGTGCATTACATACACTTGAATATTTTAACTGTTTGCGACTTAAACATTTTATAATACTGCCTTATTGCAGTAGAAGCGATATAAATATAATATAATATAAATCACGGTATTATTTTTAATATTGCATAACTAAAAGTTTTCAACTTTGTTGTTTTCGTTTTTAAATTATTTATTTTCAATTCAATATTGTTTAGAAATCACTTGTGCAGTGGTCGTGCGTCGTTTTAGTTAAAATGTCCACGTTAACTGCTACCAAGAAGACGAATATAGAAGATGATGCTGCACTTCTATCTACAGTAACTACTAACAGCATGTTAAACCAACTAAGAGCAGACTCTGATTATGACGAAGAAGACGACGAATTAACGACAAGACCCACACCTACTGGTAGTCCTCCTCCAGTATCGGTGACCACTGCTAATTCTGCCGGTATGAATAAATTATTTTTAATAAACAATACATCGATCATATTTAATTTAATCTAACATAATTAAACAAAAAAAAAGCGATTAAGTGGGTTACACTTTGCTGTACATTAGGAAACGTACTTTGTATACAAAAAACTATTCTAAGCGAAKACGGTTTGTCAGCCTATAATATTATTTATAATATTAATTTAAAGTATTTTTATAAATATTCTAGACAGACAAACCGTTTCCGCTCAGAATCGTTTTTCGTATACAATGATATTATATCATCGAATTCAAATTAAATACCATCMATTACAGTAACCCACATCTAATTACCCGCTTCTTAGATCTTTTGGTTACAAAATGAATTACGTATGAGAATCGTTATTTTAAATTCTCATTTCTTAGTTTTAAAAATAGAACATTCCATAATTTTGTCAAAATTTGAACTTTTAATACTGAGTATTATTGGATAAGTCTCATCCATGGATCTTAAATATTATCCAACTACTGTTATAACTATTTATGAGAAACCTTGTATTCATTTGTCAAGCTTTTTATCTAACGAATAAAATTGTATTGACATTCAAATTGAAKACTGAAAATGTCTATAAATAACTTAAAAAGAGTCGACATATTTTGAAAATGTTATCATGTATAAAAACGATTAATTAAATATTTTAAAAAATTTCAAGTTCCTATGATGGTTTATAAATTTTTATTAACAACTAAATAAATAAAGCATTATATGAGAATTTATTAATTTATGAGTGAATGTCCAATGTCTAACTTCAAACGATCTTAAAAATTTAATTTTACTTTTCAGTAATTTTTTTTTTTAAACTTAGGAAAATTTAATGGGGGTATCTTTTAATATACCTAAAAAGTTTAGATATAAATATGAAAATATTTATGAGTTTCTAACTAGAAATAATATGTCAGTTTTCGTGATGATTGTATGAAAATCTTAACTTCAGACGTTCATAAAAAATTATTGTGGATTTTCATTCAACATTTTATTTAATTTCCCCTAACAATAACTTATGAGAAACATTGTATTACATTTTCAATTTTTTACATTGATAATAAATAATTTTTAAAAAACTAATGAAACTCGAATTTTTTATGCCTTTAAATAGCTTAAAAAGAGCTGCAATAATTCGAAAACATTTTGTTGCATGTAAATCAATTATACCAACATTCAATTAAAATTTCATCTATATATGGTTATATTTTTTAGAGTAACACTAAAAAATAAAATCGATTTCTTTAATAATTTATTTTGCGTAAAATCTCAGTATTTCTATAAGTTTTTGTTATTTTCCTGCCGTTTTTAAAAACTAATGTAACATTTTTTACTTTTGACCTCCTAAAGTACTAATTAAATTCACTTAATTGCCAGAAAATATGCTGTTAAATAATATCGAAGTATTTTTACTGYCCCAATTAGTATGAGGGACAYAAAAAATTAAAAAATTWAAAAAAAAAACAGACATAATTGTAAAATCAATACATTCATCGCTTCTCTCAGAATCTAAATTAACTGCATGGTTATTGTAATATTATTTTTGTTGGGTATTATAAAATATAGTATAACACTATCACATTAATCACAATCTCGATTATTAAAATACCGTGTCGACGCATGTAAGTTATAGTCGTGCACCCACGTAGGTATACCAAAAGTAATATTTAAATATAATAAATTGATGCTATAGTGTAGATACTCAACAGAAGTGTCTTCTGTTTGATGGTGCGGGTAGGTTACGAAAAAAATACTACTATGAGCTTTTGGTAGTTCTATTTTTAAAAAAYCATGACAAAATATTGTTTTTTTGCCAACTATTAAAATGGTGGTCGGTGACATGAATAAATAACAATTACTATATAGTCATCTGTTCTCGTTTGTGGTGTTCGTTAATTTTTTTAGTATTAGTTCTATTGTGATCACATTTTTTCGAACTTTTAAGTATTTTTATCGTGTTTATTTATAGTAAATAAATAAATCAGTTTATTCTTTCAAAAAATATTTTTTAGTACTTATTATAAAAGTTAAGTTATCCCCTAATTAGTAATGGTGGATTAGACAATACGTTCCAGGCCGCTACGCCAATTACCGAATCACTATCTTCATCCAATATTTTGTCAAATACCACAGTATACTTGAGATCTAACCTAACCATTAAAGCGTTTAAAATATTGCAAACCTCAAACAACCAATGGCGTGTTCAGATTCAGATTCTGATCTAGAATATCGACGCAGGTGGAAGGACCTTGCAGATTACTCGGACGATGGTGAAATATAAAAAATTAATCAAAAATTATATCTGTTCAACTACTTTAAAACGTCTTGATAGTGTTTAATTAATCTTTTCATTCGTTCTAAACAAATTATGCTTGTATGTGTGATTATTTATTTTCGTATCGTATATTAGGTAAAGTTGTTGATCTTTAATTTACACATGTACCTACTATCTATACATTATTGTGTTTTTCAAGTATAATTCACTTATTGTAGAACGTGTGTACGTGCACGTGATGATGGTACAAGGTGACCCAGTACCGCGCGTAAGCCTTCAACAGGTTCAACTGATAGATACCCCTTTACACAATCATACAGTAACCTACGTTATCGCATATAAACACCAGTTATCATACATATTTGAATTGATGTGTATTGTACACATTCGCCATTATACGTTTGATGTCATATTTTTTATCATAGTATTTGTAAATTTTATTTCTTTGAAAGTAAGCACTTTTTAAATATATGATACAATTATGTCTGCTAATTTACATGAGAGTATAGTTATATTACTAGTGTAGTAATTTAAATAACATATAAATTTATATTATGTGTAGGTGAAGAATTTATCTAACATTTATCTAACATCTGCCCACAGACAGCGACGACGATGAAATAATGGCTTCATCTCCGCCACCACAATCTTCCTCCACTGGTTTACCTGGTGGTAATATGACTCCAGCAACTGGTGCACCACCACCAGATCAAGCATCTGCAGGCGGTGGTACGTCATCGTATCATATACCACAGTTCCCCATCGAACGCATAGAAAGCAAAATGGCAGCCATTAGTAGCAGGTTAGAATTTAGTCACTTAATTTTTTTTTATACGCTTATAATTTATCCGACTACTACCTTTTCAAAAACTTACCCAACACTATTGTGTCGAATTTATGCTTAAATGTAAGCATTTTATAGTATATAGGCATTATATTATGCAATACCTACTTCTATATCAATATACCTACTAAAATAATATACAGTATTTTCTTAAGATAGGATGTCAGGAGTCAGGACACTAACCATTTCTCTCTCCAACCCACACGTAATATAGCGAATTTGTGTTAAGTAAAACCAACCTTATATTATTAGAATTAGAATTGGAGTACCTACATAGTTTTATAGTACCTTTAATTAAATTGAAAGTTAGAGAATTGGCAGTTGTTATTTGTGCTTTTATGTTGACTTATCTATTGCTATTTCAAAAATTGATATAAGCATTTTTAAATTTTAACATTTTACATGATTGTAATTTTTAAGATGATGCCCACTTGTGTTGTTTCCATCCTAAAAACATGCAACATCTACAATTTGCGGACAGCAAAATTAATTTTATATTATTTTTAGTTTTAATATTAAAGTAGATTGTAAATTTAACTATTATTTAATTTAAGGTAAAAATTTGATACATATTTTCTCTTCAATTTATTAAAGTGAATTAATAGTATGTAAAATATTATATCTTTTTTAAAATTAAAATTAAAAAATACTGATGAGAGAAAACGGAAAATCATTTTAACTTTAAATTTGATAATCTATAGCYAATTTTACTGTAATGCTCAAACTAACAACTATAGTCAAATAGGAGGGCTCAGAGGATATTAGCACTCCCAATTTAAATATAAGYACCGTCAAATAATGTTCTAAACTGCGCCTAAGCTATCAACACAAAATGGTTTCTGCTAAAAGCATATTTGTTATGTAGTAACTACATATTTTGTAAAATGGTTACAATGCATTACGGCCTCTTAATTTTAGATAAAAAATAATAGCAGGTTGCCGTATTATAATAATACATGTGATTATTGTAATTTTTAGACATATTTTTCCTATTTCATTACACGTCCCTTTTTTTTTTTGAACTTAATTAACAGCAAATCGTTTTAATCTCATTTTTGTTTCCAATATTATTTTTTTCGTTGTAGGTAATTGATTTTTTTTATCATTGTACATCGACACAAAGAAATCGTGCAATGGTATTAGTAAGTGGACGGGTGCATTTGTAAGTTTTCTTTTCATACAACGCCACGCCAATATGTATCGAATCGTTTAATATAATTATGACTTAAGGTGCCACGTTGGTAACTGCCTTGAAAAACGAATCGGTATCGGGAGACGGTTGTCGCATAAGTTTTTTGTATACAGTAGCCTTCTAATCGCCATATCGTAGCATAGCGTTTATACTCGGACGTCTGCAGTGCTGCGGGTGCAAGTACCTTCCTTCGTTTTCAATTTTCTACTATGAAATTTTTTTAAGTTTAAACTTTAGCACAAAACARTTTTTAGATTCGAGTATCGATTGGGCTTAATAATATGTTTGCWAATACGGTCCAACAACAAATTTGGTGTCGGGAACGATTGTTTTATACTGGGTAGGTTTTTTAGAATCATAATTACGTTTTTATAATTTTATAAATTATTATTATTTCTTGTCAACTGCAGCGTTGGTCAAATGGTCCAGAATTCATTTTTAAAGATTTTTTTCTCAAGAATTACCTTATTAAGTATTTGTATAACTTCTATTTCTTTTTTAATATACCTACATACATGAATTGAATTTTTAACATAAATTAAAGTAATCAGGTACAAAATAAGGTGGCTGTATGGATATTATATCATATCTAACTTGAGTGTTTATTAATCCTGATGAAATCAGAGAATTAAATAGCTTGTTAAGAACTTTTCTTCAAATGTTGGTCATTAGAACTTACAGTATACCATCATATTATGTTAACTTATACATTTTTGAAACAGTTTTTTTTTTAAACACGCTATTCTGCATTAAATATAAAATGATTTATATTATAATTATTAAGCCTACCTAATGCTAAAAATATATTTTTTATAAGTTAGGTCTATTTTATGTTAAATTTTTATTATTTATACTGCAGCGGCAAAATATATGAATTGTAACTTTGTGGTATAAAGAAGTTGTTCACAATATTGTATTTTGTTACTGTCCGCTTTAATATCATAATGTTTTATTTCTTTAAAAAAAATATATAACGTTAAATAAATACACATAATGAACAATAACTATTTATAATGGTATATATAAAGTGATAAAAATAAATATAATATGTGTACAAATTCTAACATTTTTTCGATTTTTGTAAAATGTACTTATTTTACTTGTGCATATTTTAATAAATTCAATTCCGATTAAAAATCTTGGTTATATAAATGGTATATAAATTTTAATTTAAACATAATTTTAAGACAGCTCTTTGAAGCATAAATAATAAACAATACGATTTTTCGTGTAGTTGATTATGGTACTTATGGTACACGTACCATAACGTGGCCTCATGCTTGATGTAATATCTATAATCTAGTTTCTTACATGAGTAGGTATGAATCAAAGTAACGAATAAATACGTACTTATTCCATCTAAAAATAATTTATCTTATTTTAAGAAATTATATTAATACTTTAATAGTTGTCTTATTCTGTATAACTTGTTAATTTGCACAGTTAATGATACAATTGAATACATATAATATAGCGCTCTGTATAGATGATAAATCGTATGATAATATACTATACTCAACAATAGGTTTAAATTATATTATTTATTCTATACTTTTTATAAGCAATTTAAATTTGCCATATCTACTGGTTTAATTTTTGGAATGGACTTCTAAAAACTTTRATTTATTTTAAATTTTCTAGTGAACATAATATTTATCATATCATCATGTTAATAATAATAGTTTTCAATTATTTTTCTATTTTTGCTTACAAACAGCTGAATAAACAGATTTACACATTATGTAATGAATTGTATGTAGTATAAGTTTTAACTTATAAGCAATAACTGGTTATTAATATTAATAGATAATTACTAAAATAATTTTAAATTGAAGATAATACAAATTAAAAAAATAAAATAAAATATAGGTTAGCTGCTTTTTTATAAAAATATTCTGATAATTGTTTCCAGTAATAACAGTCATAAATATTAACTGCCATTGCTATTGCCAATAAATATTAAAAAACTTGAAAGAACTTAAAATACGTTTAAAAACGTCGTACAAAGAAGGTGATAAAAGGAGGGGATGTTTATTTATTTTAATTTCTTATTTTATCCTTGAATTGCTGTTACAGCGACACACGTGCCGATTTATTGGCTATATTACCGCATTCTTTTACACTAGGACACAGAACAAAATTTCATATTATCAGMCTGTTTTTAATTATTTTATCGAGATTAATGAATATGTCATGTTATATACTATATTTGTCTATCTTATATACAATTAGTGACGCACCTATGTAATCTGCAGATTTGTATAGCTAGCGCCTAGCATGCAACTGTTAAGATTTAAGGATTTAAAAATACTCTTTAATTTTAATAATGTAATATTTGGAAAATATAACAGGTAGGTACGATAAATATTTTTAAATAAATGAGAACTACTCTTTCATGCTATAAATTGGAAAACAGGTTTTTTGAAAATGTTGGCATATCTTAATCGAAATCCAAACGAGTAGTTTTTGATTCATTAAACTTTATGTATTTAGGATGATAATGATTTTATAAAAAATAGAAAAGTGGTGTAAAGTTTAGTCYAGTAATTATTATATCTATTATCCTCAATACTTAATATGTGTTTTGGTGAATAGAAATAATGTTCCTAAAAATAATAGAATTATACATACATGATGCATAATATAGGTATTATTATTATCTATAATACTATAATATAACTAACTGCGGCAGCTCCCTACTGGATCCACWCCTGACAGTCATTATTTTCTTTGATAAAATTATTTTTATTGATGTTACAACATTAAAAAAATTAGAACATTTAGATGTTTACATAAATCATAATTAGAAAACTAAATGTTCATGTTTACATGTATTAAATAAATCTATACCTACCCGAGGTTTTTATTAAAGGTGATTTAATTAGATAGTGGCATAAACTAAATAAATATTATCAATTTAGTCATGCAATTTGTTGCTAGCTACTATAAATAAAGTTTATAAATTATAAGTATAACAATACAATTTAATTATAGTTTATTATTTGAACTTTTAGACTCTAGTAATTTAAATTTAGCATGAAATATGATATATGTTCTCGTCGCTTTTATTTATTTATTATTTTCATCAAATTACTAGATCATTAATTACAACATAGTAATTCATTAATGTTGAATATTGAATGTTGATAATATTATTTTATATTATGATTACTTATTGATCACATAAATTATTATTTAACGAAATAGAAAAATAGGTGTTGTTTAAAAGCATATTGATTAGGTATCGAATGTAAATTACTAAATCGGATAATAATTCATTTATTGTGGTCTTTGACCGCTACAAGCCGCGATCCGCTAGCTTATAATTTTAATATTTTAGTGTCGTCCTTAACACTCGAGTTCGGTGTTAACTTAGATAAAATAAATTATTGTTGATGAAATAACTTTTAATTTTCCTAATACATATATTACTGTTTTCTTTTGGAGTTCATCTTTGTTGCCAAGCTTCTGTAATCGTCAATACTTCTAGGTTTGGCTAAAAAGCTATATGTTAATTGTCTTTCAAACAGTGTTTTGAAATAACTTATCGTATTATAATTTATGTTTTTTTCCGATTACTTTGCACTATGCAGTCTGGCAAAAGAAATGGACGAAAAACGAGCTGCCGCAGCAGCTTTAGGATACCCACAGTCGACTATGAACAAAGATGATCGACAGTTGTATGGAGATGGTGTAACAATTTCAGCACCATCGTCAACCATTGCGGGAATCGATAAACAACTATCATCGTCCGCTGGTGCACAGTGGCAACAAAATCTAACAGAAGACAACGAAGGGCAATATGATTTTGTGCCACATTTTCAACGMGTTAGCATTGGTGGAGAAGATAACAATGGGGTAATAATATAATAACATACAAGTCGTTTTATGCTATATGTATTAAAATGAACAATTTTACCATATGATTGATTATTAAAATATTAACATATGTGTAAATAATATACAACCTAATATGTATAATTCTATTTAAATCAGTAAAGTATTTATTCAATAGTATACTACTGATATAYCAGTGGCGTACTCGGATATTTTCAATGGTGGGGCATGGGTATATACTTAACAACATTATTTGTATATTTCATATCTAAATATTTTTTACATTGTATTCATTTTTATACATCAATAAATATAGTAAAAAAATGCTAAAAGGGGGGGGGGGTTAAACACCCAAACCACTAATATGTGTGTACGTCACTGAGCAGTATCTTATGTATTTGAAGGCAATATTTTGTCTCAGAGTCAAGACAGACGTTTAAATCAATAATCATTATATAATTAATTAAATATTATCAATTTAGCCATGCAATTTGTTGCTAGCTACTATAAATAAAGTTTATAAATTATAAGTATAAGTAGTATAACAATACAATTTAATTATAGTTTATTATTTGAACTTTTAGACTCTAGTAATTTAAATTTAGCATGAAATATGATATATGTTTTAGGTTAGGTTTATTTATTTATATTTATTTACCTACGTTTAGGTTGGGCTTATAATTTATTACTACACTTGGACTTTTAAAAAAAAAAAAATTAATTAATTTTATCGTTTCAACTAGTATTTAAAATTTATTGAAATAGTGTATAATATTTAAACTATCGATACTAAAAAAAATCTTAAACACGTAGTCACGTGACAGTTACTCAATGCATGTTCTAAGATAAACAAAAAAAATAGATAATGATTTATATTGTTGTATCGATGATATATGTAAGGCAGTCTATGCAATTTAAAATATCTAAATCAGTATTACAGTATGTTATAAATTTATAATACATTTTCACAAAAATCAGTGTTAAAAAATATCAGATTTGTTCAAATGTCTGTAGAAACTAAATTATGAATTCAATAACTAATATTATAACTACTATTTATTACATTATAATATTATCTCAATAATATTTAATACCATATTATAACTATTTCTGCGGTTAGGGTTAAACATTAAAATACGTTATATTATAATATAATTAGGATATATTAAATTAATTCCATAGAATAGCGAATTAAATTATTTATGAAAATTAAACGATTGTAAAATCTATTGAACTAAGTGGCTTTAGTCGGCATAATTAGTTTAGAGAAGACTTAAAACAATAAGTAATAATCCTTTGTGTATCCATATATCCGCGTGGTTCTTAGACGATATTGATTATTATTATTAAAGTTAATAATTAATAATCACTCAATATAATATACTCATTATATAGTATAGGTATCTATATTATATTTTTTATGAGATTTGTAGTAAGTTCTTTAATAACAAATAATGGTCTAAATAAGATCATATAATTCTTATAATAATATAATACGTTTCTAATAGCTCTATTTTATAGAGTTTATTTATAATAATAAACCAATGAGTATCTAACCTCATAAGCAATAATAGAAATAAATTAAAAAAGCAACTATTTTTGAACTACCTATCTATTATACATAATATACAAACAATTAGCTTGTAATTTATATACATACCTATAATTGAATTAACAAATTGTATCCTATTCTTAAATAGAAATCTTTTACAAAATATGATTTATGTGAATGTTTAGTTATATATTTATATTTATTATTTATGTTATATATATATGCATGTTAGTGAATAACCACATTTTAGTAGATATTTAATTTTTTAAACTTGAATATAAGTTAAAATAGCATACCTACCATTGAATTATTTAGGAATATATAATTAGATTAATATTTGGGTTTTTGAAAGTAAAATTGTTTATTTTAACAATTTTCAAAAAAGATGAAATTTTTTGTAAATTATACTACTCTGACATACGGTATTCAAATCTGGGACTCAACCAAAAACTCAAACCTAAATCTTCTACAATCCTTTCAGTCGATTAGTCTCCCTCTTCTGACAAAAGCACCTTGGTATGTTAGTAATCATACAATCCATAAAGACCTGAACATTCCAACTCTTCATACCCTCGCTTCAACACAGTATAAAAAATTTCATTCTAAAACAAATAATTATCAAAACCCGCTAATTTCAAACCTCTCCTCTAAGACTCCCGGATAACCCTCCCCGTCGACAAAAACGAAATTGGCCTCACGATTTACTTCGCTAAAAAAAAAAAAAAACAGTTTGAAGTATAGTGTTCAATGGACGTACCCTTCACTCAAGCCTCCAAACCTTGTAAACAAATCTCAAATTTATTTATTGTTTTATTATATTACAGACTGTAGATACATTTATTTACAAAAAAAAAAATTATACTACTCAATATTCAAGTATTCATTAACTCATTTATCAGAATAATTCAATAAATGAATAATTTTAATTAAATCTTTAAGATATATATTTTTTGAACTGTTAAAACTTTACTGAATGTATTATTTAAAAAAAAACAAAAATTAAGAAAATTTACACTAGCTTTCAGTTAAAATTAAGAAATTTCAGTTTTGGTATCAGAGTTTCCGACGGTTATAATTTTCGCTCAATTTTTGTGTATGAGACATTAGTAATATTTATATTAAGTGAAGGTAAACCTATGTATATATATACTCAAATAGATAAATTATATAAAATGTATAAAATTTAAGTAAAGTACGAAAAACGTTTGTGACGTTAATTCGATCATAATGGTACCTATTGCGTTAACGGCCGCGGTACACACACTTTACCTATGGTAATTAAGGTATTTTTTTTTTACCCTTCTTGAAATTACCTTTATCTTGGTGCTAGATATTATTATTTTTAAAACTGTATCCGTTTAATTTTTCCTTGTAGGTCCCTTTGGAAGATTTGCACTGGGCATCGCAACAACTCATGGAAGCGTTACACATTAGAGAACGTTATATGCGAGTGTCCCATCAATCTTTCCCGAACATCACGTCGAAGTTTTTCCACAAAAAGCACCCCAAGCCGCAAGGGGGGGATCCATCCTCGCCGTCGTCGGGCAACGCTTCGGTGCTACACTCGTCAGACAGCGTTACCGACGTGTCCGCTGGCGGCGACTCGAACAACAAATCGGAAATCAGACAGCCGTATCCAAGAGCCCGAGTGATCAAGCACGAAGACCGCCAATCAATCGCCGGTAAGTCCTCTCTCTCTCTGATCACAGTGCAATATTAGCATAATGAAAAATTGTATAATATTAACTACAATTAATATACTTAATCAATGTCTGTAGGTATCTCTTTACAACAGAATAAAATATTATACATAGGTACCGGCGGGCGTGTGAGAAAGTTAAGAATAGTAAGAATTTAAGTTTAGAATATGTACATACTATACCAGCTATATTTATTTATATTGTATTAGAATATTATTTATAACGGTTTTCCAATTGCGCGTACCTAAACATGCAGTATGCACACGTATTACCAACTATATAATATGCGTATATGATGATAATTACAATTTAAATATTATGTGTGTTTGTGTTGTGTGTGTGTATGTGTACAGATATCCGGAAACGAGTCTCTGTTTCTGATCTAGGAACGCAACAATCTAGGAAATCGTCATATAATCCGTGGGCTGACCGACGAAGTTCAACCATGGACGACGCGTTTACCGACCAACTATTATTCGACATTGCGTACTGCCAATACGGTGCGTGCGTGCGTGTTTSATGGACGATCTAATATTAAATAATATACAGATATATATATATATTACACATATGATATAATATCTAATTTTTGTATTATGTGTGTTGGTGTGCTTGTGCAACAATTTGTGTATTATACCTATTCTGATGCATTAACATAATATAAATGCAATTAAAAAAAAAAATCAAAATAGTTCTATATTTGAAAAAAATGTTTAAGACTCCTGTAGCATCAGCAATTTTTGTATTTGTTTTTTTTTTTGAACACTAGAATTTTATACATGTTGCCTATAATACATAGATCAGTAATACTAAATTAAGTTTTTTTTTTTTTTAATACTTAAGCATATCACACTGCCACCGCGTGTAGTGAAAACATAGTTTCGTGTATAATATTATATAACACTGCAGCCGCCGCATAATTATTTCGTAGGTATACCAACAAAATACATGCGAATAATTTCCGCACGCTCGTAGTAATTATTAAACTGTTAGTTAATTGTTTAAGATTGTTTTTAACGAAACCTCATATTTAATACATGTACGATGATAATGGAATTAAATTCATGATTATTATCAAAATGAGGTGAGGACTGCTCCTTGAATTAATTTCTAACAATGTATGTTATGTTTTTTATTTAAAGTAACATCAGTAATCAGTGTATTTATATGTATGTATACATAATATTATATATATTATATATATCGACGAACCAAAAGCATTTATTGTCTAGTAGGTATATTGGTATATATAATATACCATAGAAATTTTACTAAATTGGTCTACATTAGACCTTAGTGACTTAGTATATGGTCTATGATATTATATACATACGTACATAAATACGTKTATCTCGCACGCTCTAAATTACAATTTATTGTTTGTTTTGTTCACCGAATAATTTTTATTTTGTCTACGACTACCTACTATATATACGGGACAYTGTTAATAACAGGATACTTATTTTATAGTATCTCTAATAAATTGGATTTTCGAAAAATTTACGAGCGTTTATTTTGTGTGACAGACCATCCGGTACATCCACCAGCAAGTGTTGGTGACCCGTGGCAGTGCGACTTTCCACCATCGTTGGGCTTCACGATCCGTGCGCGGGATGGCGTATTTCAATTGTACAGCAGTCCGGACTCTGAGACTCCAGTTCAAGGATTCCCGTATCCAAATTTGGAGACATTTTGTCGGGACATGCAACGGCTGTGCACAATGATATCTGACGGTCCACTGTAAGTAATATCAGCGAGCAAGTAATAGCAGCAGCCCGACTATCTAGCTCTAAAGGATTGCCCTAGAATCCGTGTCCCCAAGTCTGTATTTCCGAAAATTGTAGATCGTAATAAAAAAAATTACAAAGAAACATATCATACTGTCTAAAGTTTTCTGAAAATTGTGAAACTCCCATCCACTATCAACCAAACTCGAAATACCAAATGTGTTTTTATTGTCAAGTGCACGGGCGCATCAGTTAACATTTTTTCTTTCTCTGATTTACACACGTAGTTTAAAATAATAAAAACCACTTTTTGTATTTCATATTTTCATTCATTCATGTAGATTACATGATTGAAATTAAGGTATCATTACCTAGCTATTATAACAACTATTTTAAAAATTAATATCATCTGCAGTGTTTTTTTTCTAATATTCTAATTTTTAGAAAAGCTATTACTTAGGGTATTAATTTGGCTAATATCAGCACAGATAATTTTATGCTTTATAAAATGTATTTTTATAATAGTTGAAATTTAACAATGTTATCACAATGAGTGAATTACGAAGATAGATTTTAAATACCTCTATTTTACAGTTATACGTGTGTAAGGCAGATAAAATAATATTATACTAGTGTAGTAGTGTGCCCTCTTTTTCACTGTAGTCAAAAACAAACTCTCAACACATCTATTCGTACTTTATATGCTAGTATAATGGCCGTGAAACGATAATTTAAGAAAATTAGTCAAGTATTTTTTTTGTTAGGATTGAATTGTCTAAACTTAAAATTCCTGTTTTGTTTCAATTATAATTTATCGTAACAGAACGCAAATAATATTTTTATCATTTTGTTCTAAATACAATAATTAAGACAATGTGATATACGACCAATTATCGAGATATAACCGATGAAATACGAAATTATGTTTTAAAAGATTACAAAACTGATAGGTATAAAATTATAATAATATAAAATGCACGAGACAACAAGCAAACTAAAAAAAAAATTTAATTAATATTTTTTTTTTTTTTTAATCTTTATAATATCGTTATATTGCATTTCCTTAATATATTTATTTTTTTCACCTCAGAAAATCATTTTGTTATCGTCGGTTGTCGTATTTATCATCAAAATTCCAGTTGCATGTGCTACTAAACGAACTAAGAGAACTTGCGTCACAGAAAGCTATTCCGCATCGTGATTTCTACAATATAAGAAAGGTACTATTTAAATTAATATTTTATCTAAACTGTTCAAATAAATTTGTCTCTAAAATCTATTATTAATATAAATGTATCTATTAATTTTCAAAGTTTTTATTAATATTATTTATTTTAATAAAGGTCGATACCCATATACATGCTGCATCGTGCATGAATCAAAAACATTTGTTAAGATTCATTAAGAAAACTYTAAAAAATCATTCAGATGAAGTGGTGTCTGCTGGTGGTATGACACTTAAACAGGTTTTTGAATCGATGAAATTAACATCGTATGACTTGACCGTCGATATGTTGGATGTACACGCAGTGAGTAGATAATAATTTTAAAGAAAAATACAATTAGATAACAATTAATATTATGATTTTATTTGAAATAAAATAAATTGATTAACTTATAAAACTTCTGCAATGTGATAACAGAAATAAATAAGAATAAGATGTCATTATAAAACATTATCCAGTTGACACCAGTCACCACAATGATAGAACAATTCTTATTTTCTCTTCAACATTTTTTTCTTTTCTTTATTTCATGAATATATAATCTACTTGGTTAAATAGATAATTATAAAGAATAAATGATCTTTATAATAATAACAATATATTAATTGTAGTATATTCAAAAACTTTATAATCTAATATTTTTACTAATAAATAAATAAATAAATATCATATTTCGTTATGATGAGTGTATAGGGTGTTAATAGGTACTACTACTTATATACTTATATACTTAGTATACTTATATTATACAGTGAGATTTTAATGCATAGTGAGATCTTAGCTTATTTTTTTATTAGACATCATTAGTTAGTACCTACTGTTAAAAAGAACATTATATTTTTAACTTATATTAAWTTTAAATAAGGATATAAAAGAAGTAAGAAAGTCTTAAAGGTACAAAAGCAACAAAACATTAAATATTTATAAATAACTGAACAAGTACAAAAGAAAATGAGATTTTATATTTTATATATATATTATACATGTCTGATAAGGCTTGTAAATATATCTGTAGATACTAATATGTATTATGTATCAGTTAGTAATGACTAATGACTTATTGTAATTTATAAATTAATACAAACTATCTATTTTTTATCGCTTTTTTTATTGCAGTTATAATAATATGTTTGAATTGAACTCTATAATATATGTAATATGTATAATTTTAAACCGTTATTATAATAATTTATGAGGAATCTTTTTTTCAATTTTCAAGTTTTTTGACCTAGAGAATTTTATTTATTGATATTTATAGAAAACAAATTTAAAATTTAAAATGTCTAAAAATAGCCCACAAAATTAAAATATTTTGAAAATACAATYTTGTATGGAAAATGTTCATTTGGTTGTGATTTCATACATCTATAGTTAAACGTTTTTTTAATTGATTAAAAAAAATGATTTCGTATAAAAATTTAATTTCTTTATTTTTCCCAATAMTTTTGAAAATTACTTGGTATATTTCATTTTGACTTCTTAAAAGTATCAACTAAATCCAATTTCCTATAAGAAAACCTCCCCCAAATCGGAACATACACATTTTCCAACTACTTTTCGTGTTTAAAATTTTGAATGCACAAAAAAAAATAATAAATACTCATTATGAAATAAATTTTTTCATTGCTCCGCAGAAACTAAAATAATATAGGTAAACAAAAATAAATTTGATACATTTTTAAAAAATAATTAATACTTGATTATGAACTCATTAATTCGATTTTATACCTATATTAGGTAATAGATACATACATCTTTCATGATAAATTATATCAAAACTAAGTACCAGTATTTTACATATTGTCAAAATATTTTACAAATTTCAGTTAGTTTATTTAAGATTTTGAGCGAAGCAATAAATGCATTGATTTTACAATGATGTGTGTGTCTGACATTTGTGTACATGATAAGTTATTGAAATAGTACTTCGATTTTCAACTTCTCTATCTTTTATCGTGAGAAAGTAAATTTTGTTGGTGCATTAGAAGCCTAGATCAACATTTAAACTTTTCACTTGTTTTCAAAAGCACCATAAAATAAAATAAGGAAAAACAGGAAATTTTACGTAAAATTGGTAATTGTTGAAATCTGATTGGTTTACGGCCAGGTTAGAATTTCGATAAAATTTGTAAAAATCTTAAAAACGTGCAAATTCGTTTGAGTTAAAAATTTATAAAAAATTTCATTTATATATCCGGGCCAAGACTTAATAATTTAAAGCTGGATAGTTCACTCTTAAAGTCCTATAAATAAATTAGCCGATCAATAAACACTGGTGTTCTAAATATCTATATTGGCTGTAAGCTATGTCAAAATCGTTATAAAAAAATATTGTAATATATAAAATAAATAATTATAGTTTGTTTTCGATTATTTATTATTTATTATTTTGTATAAATGTATATTTTATAGGATCGCAACACGTTTCACAGGTTTGACAAATTTAATTCCAAATATAACCCTATTGGAGAATCTCGTCTCAGAGAAGTATTCTTGAAAACCGACAATTATACTGGTGGTAAATATTTTGCTCGGGTAATTAATGAAGTAGCAGCTGACTTAGAAGAATCAAAATATCAAAATGCCGAACTCCGTTTGTCTATCTACGGAAAGAGTCGTGATGAATGGGAYAAACTAGCCAAATGGGCTATTTCTAATAAAGTGTATTCTGACAATGTTCGATGGCTAGTTCAGATTCCACGATTGTTGTGAGTATATATTATAAAAAATTCTATTTTTTTGTAATGTTTACACATAGCACTGATTACTTAAGTCATATTACTTTTTTTTAATTTAAATATTTAGTTTATGCACATTATTGTATAAGTATTACATAAAATATATTTTCAATTGTTATTGAAGCAATAAAAATATTAATTATAAAAATATTCTTTGTTACAGTGATATATTTAGATCAAACAATATCTTAGACAACTTCCAGCAGTTATTAGACAATGTATTTTTGCCACTGTTTGAAGCCACCAATGATCCTAATTCACATCCAGATCTCCATAGGTAACGGATAATCATACTTATTATTGCTAAGTCTTTAATATTAACATATTTTTAATCAAAAATTAAAATTGACCCATAAAATTTCTTCTAGATTTTTACAACATGTAGTCGGGTTTGATAGTGTTGATGATGAGTCAAAACCAGAAAATCCCTTTGTTGACAGAGAAGTTCCCAAACCAGCACAATGGAAAGAAACTGATAATCCTCCTTATGCATATTATCAGTATTATATGTATGCCAACATGACTGTACTCAATCATCTCAGAATGTAAGTTATTTAAGTATAAAATATGTTAAATATAAAATAGTACTTTGAAATTTAAAAATTGTAAAATTTGTGAAAAATAAACTATCATCAATTCAAATTAGTCTGTTAGAACTAATGAACAATTATATTTATAATTTTAAGTGTAATATTTAAGTAATTTGGAGATGATGTTTATTTAAATGACATGGTAGTAATTAATTATATATTTTTGATATCTTARTTTTATAAACATTTATATTTAGAACGCCCTTTTGATTTTTTTTTGTCTCTATTAGTAAACAAGGTTTCAATACGTTTGTGCTAAGACCCCATTGTGGTGAAGCAGGAGCTGTACAACATTTAGTGTGTGGTTTTATGATGGCAGAAAACATATCACACGGACTGCTCCTAAGAAAAGTACCTGTACTTCAATATTTGTATTATGTTGCCCAAATTGGTATAGCCATGTCACCTTTGTCAAACAATTCATTGTTTTTGAATTATCATCGGAATCCATTACCCGAATATTTGGCTCGTGGTCTGGTCATCAGTCTGTCGACTGACGACCCTCTGCAGTTTCATTTCACCAAGGTTATCATTTATATTTATTTTAAATTTCATTTTTGAAATTATAAGCACCTAAAGAATATTATCATGTTTAAAATTATTTGATTTTTACATTTTAATTGATTCTGTAGGTATTATATTGTAATAGTAACATACATTTAAATAAATAATTATTAATTTTACTATTTTAGGAACCATTAATGGAAGAATACTCAATTGCTGCACAGGTATGGAAATTATCAGCATGCGACATGAGTGAATTGGCTCGAAACTCTGTATTGATGTCTGGATTTCCTCATAGGGTATGATATTTAGTAACACATTCAAAAACAAAATACATTTTACTGACATTAATATGATTTTAATGCAGATCAAGCAGTACTGGCTGGGACCCAATTACACTAAGGAGGGGGTGGCAGGAAATGACATATCGAGGACTAATGTCCCGGATATACGAGTGGCGTACCGTAACGAAACTCTTTTAGACGAGTTAGCGGTCATATTTGGCTCCATGCCGACAAATGCGACAACAAATACAAACAGTGTAACATCTACAGTGCCTAATTAATAGATCTAGACATATTAGTTGTACTCGATAGATGACATACATTTTATTCTATATTATAAGACATTGTATTCCATGATTAGTTATAAATTATAATCATATTATTATTATTATCTAGATATTATTATTTTTGTGACTATTGAATTTAAACGTATTAGGCAAGTCTAGTTATATTTAAATTTGTATGATCCAGGTAGATCATTTTTATTATTCAATTATCTTATTTCGAATAATATACTTTATTTTAATAAGTATTAATAATAATCCTATTATATTTATATCCATAAAGTATGATTATAATACTTACAAATAATAAAGGGTGATAAATATATATATATATATATATTATATTAGTTTCTAAATGTAATTTATACTTAGTTGTTTTTATTGTAAAGTTATATCTTATATATCTTTTATCTTTCCTACAAAATTGTAAAATAATAATATTAGATTATGTGTTACTTATTCTTAGCTTTCTATGTAATATTGTAAATACAATACACATAGAACACACACATAATCTTTAAGTATATCTACTCATCTATTAACTTTAAATGTTTGTACCTTTTATCAAATTCTTCATTATATTGGAATAAATGTTATGGATACATTTTGATTTGAGTTATCAGAGATAAATATCAATAAAATTATTATAGTTATTAATTAACAAATTAATTTTTTTATAAAAATGTTCTAAATTACCTTGTTAAATTTGTTCTCATGTTATGAAATAACTTATTAGCAAACTAATTATACAGTAACAATGAGTTTATTTTTTCTTAAATTTAGAGATTTCAATAAATTCTATTTTGTAAAACTAAATTTTATAAAACAAAAAAATAAATTAGTAATTAGAAATATAAAATATTATTCATACATTTATAATATTGCATTTTCAAAAATGATATTATAAGCAGGATATTTATAGAGGTAATTACATAATTGATAAAAGAATAATATAACTATTTACTTAGTATCTAATACATATTTGTATGCTCATTAATCATTATTAATATATCAGATATTGATTTGATATTATTCTTGGGTAATTAAAATATATTAACTATGAATTCGGATATTATAATTTAGTATGGTTGTGGAGTGGACCATTAGGTAAATAAATAAATACAAATAATCTTAATCTTTTATCCAAGCATGGATTTGAGTTGATATAAGTACTTACAGAAATTAATTGTAATACACACATTCGCTGAAAATTGTAAGACCTCTACTAAATTACCATGTTATTTGTTAGCTTTTTTTAAAAATGATAAGATTATTATTAGTTATATATGAGAAAAATATACTGATTTTTTTTTTAACTTGACTTTCGAGTGGACAAGTCTCATAAGGCAATGGGTAAATAGAAAATAAATAATAAATTCCTCAAGAAGTAAATAATAATTCCCGAGTAGATTGATGCTGCTGAGTGACTTATCATAATCACGAATAAATAATATATGTAATTTTTTACATGTTATATCAATATAATATTATAATATCATCCTTACTTATTTCACATTATTTTKTATGGATTGTAAATAAGAATGATAACCGATATTCAAAAAAAAGCGTGTTGTTTTGTTCAACAAATTTGTTTGATACGTCTTGCTTATGACATTCTATTTGTGTTTTCTAAAATAGATTTATAACGGTATGCGTATATATTTTGCTTAATAATATTATCTTAAAAATATTATTGTACAATTTCAATCGCTCGGCGTCTTGGGTATGCTATATTTTAGCTACATCAATGTCATGGATTAATTTTGCGGGTATCTTGTTAACTGGCAATTGTTTAGTTTATTTTATGTGCGTTTTATTGACAATATTATGTTTAAATTTTAAATAATTATATTTATACCTAAATGTATAAAAAAAATGTTCCATTCATTTTACCCATTTATACCAAACAACATACCTAGAGCAAACCCGAATTTAATTTACGAGTTCTCGGAAACATTCTTAAAGTTTGTTTTTGTTCGTTAAAGTATTACTTATTTTCCTTATTATTCCATTCAAATTTAACAATAAAAAAACAACATAATACATAAAAAATATTTGTTTCAATTAAATTAATAAACATTGATGTAATAATAAATGTAGTGATCATTTTTATGCTATTAGGAATAAAATAAACAGAGTTTTATAACACATATTAGCGTATAAAATTACTAAACTAATAACAATTGCGTAAATTAATATTAAAAAAAAAAAAAATAGCAGATATTGTTACTCAGAAAAAGAGYCAAGAAGATTTCATAATAATTTAAAAAATTAAATAAAGTAATATAATTATAAACTATCTTATGCTGTATGCCATGTAGAGATACGACTATAAGAATAATAAAGGGAAAATATATTAATTTAAAATCTCCTATACACAACGAGTAAAGTAGTGATGAAAAATTGTTGAAAAATATTTGCTTTAAACAGTTATATAGTTTAGTGACTATAATAAATTGTGTTAAGTTTTGAGTTATAACTTTATAACTCACACCTTACCACCAGTGCCGCAACTACCGGGGGTGCAGGGCGTGCTTTGCACCCCCAATAGAGAATTTAGAGGGCCCCTCGATAGTTGAAAAATACTTAAAATTATTACATAAAAAATTAGAAACTAACGACCTATAATCTTAGTATAGTGAAGTTGTTACATCTTGTATTATATTTTTAAGTTTACCAGTGACTGTTGCAACAGCCAAACGATCATTTTCTAAACTTAAATTGATTAAAAACTATTTAATAAACTCAATATCTCAAAACCAAATAACAAACATAAGTATATTAAATATAGAAAGAGCTCGCACTGAAGAACTTGATGTAGAAAAATTAATTTTAGACTTTGCCAATCAAAAAAGCAGAAAAAAAATTTTTTAAAGTAATTTTAATATTTAAATATGTATTTTTTTTTATAATTTTAAATGTATTTACTATTTTGTATAATAGTGTAAATAAGTAAATATATGTTATGTATTATTTATATTATGTAAACATATGAAAAACATAAATATTTAATTTTTTTATTATAATTTTAAACGTATATCAACCATATACGTATTATCAAGTGTAAATTTGTATTTTTTTAGTTAAAATGAAATTTAAATGGTGATGGATACTTAACGTTTATATATTATATAAATATATTTTTCATGAAAATATTTCGTAAAATTTTGGAAAATAAGGGGCTATTATTATTTGGTTTGGCACCCCGGCCCTAATAACCTTAGTTGCGGCACTGCTTAGCTTACCACAATTGTTTTATAAAATATAATAATATTATGTAATTTAACTAAAAATAATTTGAAAATATTTTAATAATAAATTATGATGTTACTAATAATAAATTACATTTGTAATGAAATAAACCGATTTATTTTAGACTATCTATGACTTCGAACAACTTTTGTATTTTGTATTTCTTATCTGATACTAAGACTGGGCAGTTAACAATTTTTCTAAGCTCATATTAAGTTAATATAAGAAGATATAAGTTACAAGTTAGTTAATATATTTTTATAACTTCGTTTTTTCTTAACTGATATAAAAWTGTTTAAATCGATCAGAAAAATCAGTTACCTAAAAAATTAATCATGAAATTGCATATTGTCTTAACCCCGCCAAGGGTTCTGTGCGCAGCAATCAGTGGCGGGTCGTCAGGGGAGTCTTTAAAACGGCGACTCCCATAGTAAAAAGTAGCAACAAAATAAAAAAGTTTGAAGAAAATTGTATTATAATATTTAATATTTTTATCCATTTAAAAAATAATAATTACGGTTTTCGATATTAAAATTGACAATATAATATTTTTTTTCTATTTTTACATTAATGATGAGAATATACCTACGAGTGTCATTCGATAATAATACAGGCGAAAATTATCGATAACGATGACTGTTGCTAGTTCGGGAATCTGCCGTTTGAAAGAGACTCAATTGTGTATCCAAATTCCGAATTTCATATGACAAAGCTGAGCACAGGGGTAGATTTTATAAATGTTATTCAGTACATTGAGACTAGACTCATTCAAAGTTTCTGCCTTTCGCATCGCACTCGTCACTCACTTTTCAGTTAACACCTAAAATCTGCAGCAAGTCGTATTGCCGTGCGTCCGTATTAGATAGACGATTGAATTTAGTTATTCGACATTGTATCGTCTCG